GTAATCTGCTCGTTCAACATTGAGATATCAGTTACACTCAGATATCATGAATCCAAAGATTCATGATAAGTAATGATTTGTCATTTTACTGAGATACAAATTTGAACTAAACCTGGTCTGAGGTCCAACCCCGTGGCTTTCTGCAAGTCATTATGCTCTCTGAAACCCTAGAAATCTAATCTCTAGTTCTTAGAGGGGAAAAGGCAACAGATAAGAGAAGAAGTATTAGTTAAGTTGAAAACCAGGTTTTGGAGAGCCTGATGGCCCTACAATTTGGGTTCCTCTATAAAAAAAAGAATTTTTTAATTAGGTAAATATCTATATACAACCAAAAAAGAAAGCTCAGCAAATTATAAAATGTTTAAAGCTATCAAACACCATAATCACCAAAATTAGAAAAGTAACTTGATACTTTTATTAATTACCTGACACACTTCTATAAAACATTTTTGTTACATTTTTTGGCTGCATATCCTTTGCCTCTTCATATCATGAGATTCTATAAAATCACTTTCTATAGAAAAAATAAAAAGATAATTCTGTCCTTCCTCCATCATTACTGAGCAAAATGTGTGTTTATTATTGATAGTTTTTTTTCAAAGATTTTATTTATTTATTTGATAGAGATAGAGAGCACAAGTAGGCAGAGAGGCAGGCAGAGGGAGAGGGAGAAGCAGGCTCCCCGATGAGCAGGGAGCCCAATGCGGGGCTCAACCCCAGGACCCTGGGATCATGACCTGAGCCGAAGGCAACCGCTTAACCAACTGAGCCACCCAGGCGCCCTATTATTGATAGTTTAGAAAGGTTTCCTTTAGTTTCACAGTTCCACAATTCCTTACTGAAGCCATGTAAAATGCTTAGAATTCTCAACTTTGAAAAGACCTCTAATAAGTTTCTTTTATAAATGAGATGTAAAACTTTAGGGCATTTCTGATTTCCTTGAGCAGCAGCTAATCTTAAATACTAATTGACTAACATTTCATTAAATAGTTTGCCATCAATATCCTCAATATAATGACATATTATGACTTTTACATTGTCTTTATCAATACCAATATTTTATCAAACAAGTAAAAAATGTAGATCTTTTCCTAATGTGTTTATGTGATTCACTACTCTTCATCAGTTGTACTATCAAATAACCTAAGACCATATTCATTATTTCTATTCAAAATTTAGTTCTTCTCAATGGACTACCACCTAGGCATGACCTAAAAAAAATGTATCATAATTCACTTTTTTTTTTAAGATTTATTTATTTATTTGAGAGAGAGAGAGAGCATGAGCAGGGGGAGAGGCAAAGAGAGAGGAAGAGAGAATCCTCAAACAGACTCCCTGCTGAGTGTGGAAGGCAATGTAGGGCTTGATCCCAGGACCCTGAGATCATGACCTGAACCAAAATCAAGAGTCAGTCGCTCAACCAACTGAGCCACTCAGGTGCCCCTCTAATTTACTTTTTGATGTAAAAAAAAATTTCTATGGATTTTGTCATTCCTCTTAATCACTTTTGTTTTACAGTCCATTTTTTTCTCATGATTTTCTCCTCCTTTAATACAAATTTTAAAGGTGAGTAAAGATGATACCATTCATGTAGATCCAAATCAAGTCTATAATTTCTCAACAAGTATTAAAATGTTGTAAAATTTCTTTCCAAATTCACTTCTTACTAGAGTGGACTTGGAGTAGACTTGGAACTCAAGGAGTAGACTTGGAACTCAAGACTTAGAAGTCAAGACATTAAAGCCCTATAAACTAGTTATTAAGTGCACCAAACTGTATCTGCCAGGGTTCTACCTGAGAAAGAGAAAGATTTATTGCAAGGACTTGGCTGATAGAATTGTGGGACTGCCTAGGCAAGTCAGAACTCCATAGAGCAGGTCAACAGGCTAGAAACTAACTCCAGCCCTCATGGAAACTTCAGTTTTGTTCTTAAGGCCTTTCCTATGATTGGATTAGCTCCATCCTTTACAGTGAAATGATTATAAATATTAATCATATCTACAAAATACCTTCACACCAACACCTAGACAATGTTTGACTGAATAATTGCTACCAATCAATAGCCTAGCCAAGTTAACACATAAAACTAACCATCACACATTTCTTGACATCTTCTAAATGTTAGAGACTGCACTGATAAGCAGGCTACAAAAATTAAAAACTATCTTTGACCCAGGTCTGGGTGATGGAAACACAGAAGAGGAGATTAATTCTGCTGTGGGGGTAGGGTCATGATTGGGGAAACCATGGAACAGACTGGTCAAAAGCTCAACTCTGGACTCAACCTGCTTGGCTCAAATTCTTGCTCGGACACTCGCTTCCTTCCTTATGCCCTTCTTTCTTGAATGGTGAAATGAGAATAATAATAATACCTATCTCCTATCTGTTGTGAAACTTAAAAAAGATAAGCCATGTAAAGTGATTAAAACAAGGCCAGGCAGATAACAAGCACAGAATTACTAGTTGTCATCATTATCATTACTTGCCACAAGACTTGGAGATTAAGTAAGAGTTATCCAGGACAGGAAAGGCATTCCAGGTGTATGAAACAATAAGAGCAAAGTCACAGAGGTATGAAAATGCCCATCACATCTGGAGTTCAGTAATTAATGCAATGCAGCCAGAGGGTGGAAGGTGGTGAGGAAAGATTAGATGTGAAGGGTTAGATGCAGTCAGCCCATGAGGAGACTTGAATATTATATAAAAGAGATTGTACTTTATTTTGGCAGCAAGAGGAAATGATAAGGTTTTTTTCTTATGCAAATAAAAAGATAACATAATCAAGTCTATGAATACCTGGAATGCCCATGCTTCATCAACCTACAATTGTAAATGAGGCCACATTTGAATAACTACCCCAGGTCTTACTCTGAGTATTCACTGCTTGAGTAACAGGAAGTCCAATCTTTGCTCAGGGCTTCTCTTACTGTATATTTCTAAAACTTCTCCAGAGTTGTTTACATGAGGTTTTCAATCAATCCTGGTGACAACTTACTGTCATCTTGACTGGTGGTATGGGTCCCCTCATGTACCCCTCAAGGGAGCACTCCACCACTATTAAGAGAGATCTGCTGTAACCACCACCACCTCAGTCCTGGATGATAGAACCAGGAGGTCCTTTTGAAGAAAGAGAAAGCTCAATGCAATGTTGTCCCATGTCAAAATTGTCTGGATCTCAAAGCATCATAATCTTTTATATTCACATTGTCCCCCAAAATCCATTCTATCCATCTGCTATAATAGTAGATTTATAGCTGGGCATATAGCCACCTAGCTAGAGATTATATTGACCAACACTCCTTGCAGGTAGATGAGGTCATATGACTTCCCACCAACGGAACATGGGCACAGGTGGTAAATGCCACTTCTAGTCCCAGGCTTTAGAATATTATACATGTGTTCCTCCATGTACTCACCTAGAATACTGACTAATTGTGACTCACTTTCAACCATGTAATTAGAACCCAGGATTTAAGAGATGGTAGAGAAAACTGGGTACCTGAATGACTTCATGGAGCAGAGCTCACCTTGCACTGTGGCTAACAAAGAAGTAAACTTCTATCTTCCGTTAGCCACTCGATTATTGTGAGTCTCTTTATTACAATATTCTAGTTTTACCCTACACTCAGCTCTTTCCCCCAAGATTCATACATGTAGCCAAGTAATGCTTTCAGGTAGAACCATCATTCCCATCAAAAGCTTAGATTTTGATCTCAGGTTGGCTTATTGTACCACATTTCCTATCATGGATTCTACTTTAGTGTGTGTGTGCTCACCATCATCCCTCCTATAATTTGGTTTATGTCAGAACTTGACAAGGCTGGACAGGGTCCAGTTTGTTTTTTCTTGTGGGAATTTTTCCAGCTCTTAAGCAAAGCCAAGAATATAAATGAATACCTGGGGCGGGGGGGTAGGGAAAATGTCTAATCCCTCTTAACAGAAGCACCTATGTCCCTGCTCTGCTCAGCCACAACTCCCAAGACCCAAGGTTCAAAGCTGCCTGGGAGACCTCTGATCACTGTAAGGAGACTAGGCTGAAAAGGCAAGGACAAGGCCACATGCAAGGGGAAGGTTGCAATTACCTAGAGGAGAGACCGGCCAGAATAGTACCAGTGGGAATGGAAAGAATCAAATTCAAGAGATATGTCAGAAATAAGAACAGTAAGACTTGATGACAGACATTCACCACAGTAATCACATACACACTTAACTACTTTGGGTGATAATATCAATACTGGTGGTGATGACAGTAATGCAGAATTATTTGGATCTGCTTGACCCTGGACCACATTATGGGAAAACAGTTAACAGCAACAGCAATAACACATACACACAATGTTACGTAACGATTACATCTTATAAAAGTTTCTTTTATGATTTAAAAAGCGAGGAGGTGGGAGAAATTCAGATATAATAAGGGGTAGAAGGTGAGTGACAGAGAAAAACTTTGACCACCCTGGAAATGAACATGTAATAGTTTTTAAGAACTGTCAAGCATTGCAAAATATCCCCTGTATTTCTAGAAAGTTCTGATTCACACAACTTATTTTTATTTGTAGGAAACCAGGTAGAATTTTCAAAAAATGACCTAGGAGTCAGTTACTTTAATTCCATCTTAAGTTCCTTTTCTGTTTGTATTCTATATGGTAAAGAGTGCTCAGCTGCAAACAATGATTTAAGCAATGCTATGGACCAAATGTTTGTGTCCCCACAAAATTCACATGTTGAAACTCCAACCCCCCCAGTGTGGCTGTATTTGGAGATGGGACCTCTAAGGAAGTAATTAAGGTTAAATGATGTCATCAGTGGGGAGCCCAGCTCCAAAAGGGTTGGTGTCCTTGTAAAAAGAGATACCAGAGAGTGTTCAGGCCCCATCTTGAATCCTCTTTCCCACCCTCCCACTCGCTTTCTCTCTCTGTGCACTCATTGAAGAAAGGCCATGGCCACGTAAGGGCACAGTGAAAAGGCAGCTGTCTGTAAGCTAGAAAGAAAGCTCTCACCAGAAACCAAAGCAGCTGGAACCTTGATCTTGGACTTCCAGCCTCCCAAACTGAAAAAATAAACTTCTGTTGCTTAAGCCACACCATCCGTGGTATTTTGTGATGGCAGCCCGAGCTGACTAAGGCAGTGGTAAGGCATTTATTACTGTTTTCCATTAAAACTAAGATGCAGGGACGCCTGGGTGGCTCAGTCTGTTTAGCGTCTGCCTTCGGCTCAGGTCATGATCCCAGGGTCCTGGGATGGAGCCCCGCATCGGGATCCCGGCTCAACGGTGCGTTTGCTTCTCCCTCTGCCTCTGCCCCTCTTCCCTGCTCGCTCTCTCTCTCTCTCTCTGTCAAATAAATAGATAGAAATCTTAATCAATTGATAAAACTAAGATGCGACCATTTGTAAGGCACACCATTATTTTATAAACAACTAAGAAAAATCAAACACTGCTCATTAAACTATGTCATTGGCTGTAAGAAGCATCCTAATTCCAAAGACAAAAAAAAAAAAGTGGGAATATGTGAATCTTAGAATTGATGAAATAGATAATACATACTAGGAACCTTATAGACAACCCCCCCCCCCCCACGGTAAGACCAGGGAAATGGGTTTAGATGCAACACAACCAGAAACAAAGCACCGTGGGAAAATGCCCAACCATCCCATGGGGCGAATCTAGCAGAAAGAGCAGTGCCTGCACTGCACACCAGGAACCCCCCAGAAGTGGTCGCAGCTGCCCTCGAAGAACTAGCACCTCCTCCAGGGAGTTGCCAGAACAGCCACCCATCATCACCACCAACTTTAAGTCCAAGGGATGACCAGGAGAATGAAGGGGACACATTTAATAATGATGCCATCAAGACAGACAGAAACTGGACTGCCCCAGGAAAACCAGACATTTGGCTGTCCTGGGTAGAACGTAGGACCCTAGTTGCAAGCGAGTCTGGGAAATAGTTTTCACTTCCCTGTCTCTGCGGTCCAGGAAGACAAGCTAGAAGGCCATTGCCATGGGCCTTGAGTAAATATCAGAGAGTTCATGGATACATTTATTGCAAAAAGATGATCAAATAAGTATCATAATTTTGTTGCAAGCAAAGAAAGAGCCTCTGTGTAAACTGGAAACCATTTGGGACCCCTCTGTTGTATGCTGTATAGCACCCCAATGGGGGGAAGGTCTCATGAAGACAGCATTCCATCAGGGGGATTCTCCTCCATTTATGCCCATCTGAGCTTCAGAACCTTGATACTAAACTTGCTCTCCAACAGCTTTATATCGCAATACCTGAATGTCTTTTTTAAGTTGGGACTTTATTAAGATGACAAATGGATTTGCTCTATAATGAGAACTGTATACAGATACAAGGATCTGTAAAGGTTGTATGGAAGTTTCTGGACTCGATCTCAAGTTCCTCCTCACAGAGGAGTCAGTCAGGACCCTTGAGCCCAATGGCTGGGAGATTCATTCCGCTTCCTCCTGTATTTTACTTTTCAGTATTTTAGATTGTTCTTGTCCCATACTCTTGTCCTCTGTGAGATATCTAGTACTTCCTCCAGAGCCGTTCTTCACTGATCACAGAGTTCAAGACCTTTGTCTTGTAAATAGGTAATTATTTTGCAAATATTCTACCTAAGCATGTAATTTCTCCTTATTAAATTATACCTTCTAGAAGCCTCCAGTCACAGAACACATCACTGAGACTTGGAACTCCAGAGCAAGAGAGAAGGGTTTGGCCTCTAGCAAGACCCTGAGCCTGAGAAACGAGGTTAAGGCAATCCTACTCAGGTGCTCAAGGGTCGCCACTGCCATTTCAAGCAGCACAATTATTCTGCGTGGGGACCGTCAGGGGCATTTCCCCACCTCGATATATGCCAATAGCACACTGCAATCATAGTTGCAATTTAAAAAATGCTCCCACTCTTTTCCAAATGCCCTTAGGGAAATGGGAATTCCCCTAGTTAAGAACCACCAAGCCACAGAGATTTCCTCCACGTCTTCAGCACAGCACAAACCCAAGTGGGACTTGCTTCCCATTACAAGGTTCCCCTCCGTGTATGTGGAACAAAAGCTAGTAGGCGCAGACAGCCAGGCCTAAGGGGCCACCTCAACCCAGGTGGCCAGGGACTTTTTCTGGGTTTAGCAGCGAACTCCTCAATCCCAGGCAAATGAGGAACATTGATTGGCCTGACTCAGCTACGAGGCTGACCCGCCTACTGAAGAGGATCAGACAAAAGAAATGCTTCTTCCAGTCAGGAGGAGCTGTGGGGACAGGAAAGGGGGCAGAGGGATGGACAGAAAAAAGTGCTCCCGGGCGTCTCTCTTTCCCTCTTACCCCAGACACACCCCAAACCCCTCCTTGTGGCCTAGAAGGCCTTAGAAACATCCAGCTTGGTGTGAGGCACCTGAGGACAGGCTTCTACCCTGTTTCCTCATTAGGAAGCAACACTCTTGCTGTGGGGAAATCACATCTGGTACTGTCACCTCATCTGTAAAATGAGGGAGGCGGAGATTTCCTCTTAGGGCACTACTGACTCTCACACGATAACTCCTTTAAAGTTCTGTCCCGTCATGATCCCAGGGTCCTGGGATGGAGTCCCCCATCGGGCTCCCTGCTCAGTGGGGAGCCTGCTTCTCCCTCTCTCTGCAACTCCCCCTGCTTGTGCTCTCTCTCTCTCTCTCTGACAAAGGAATAAATAAAATCTTTAAAAATAAATAAATAAAATAAAGTTCTGTCTCCTTAACTTTTCTGAACTTTTTTCAAATTCTGGGGAACTGACAACTTTTTCAAATGAGGAGCCACAGCCATCAGATGGCTTAAGTAAACAAGCCACAAAGCGTGGAAAATGACCGTGTAAGGAGCAGAATTTTCTCATCCACGTCCTCTGCAGCTCTCTGCAGGGGATCGGAGGAACCCACCGTATTCGTTTGCTAGCGCTGACATGATGAAGTCCCACAAAGCGGAGGCTAGAATCCAAGATCAAGGTGCTGGTTTCTTCTGAGGGCCTCTCTCTTTGGCTTGTAAATGGCATATTCTCCCTGTGTCTTCACATGGTATTCCCTCCATACAAGCGTGTATCTAAATGTCCTCTTTTTATAAGGACACCGGTCAGATTAGTTTAAGGCCCACCCCAATGATCTTAACCATGTCTGTGATCGAAATCACCTACCTCCCAGGTAGACTAAATGGGTGAAGGGGCTCAAAAGGTGCAAACTTCCAGTTATAAAATAAATAAGCCATGGGCATACAATGTACAGCACGGTGACTGTGGTTAATAATACTGTATTGCATATTTGGAAGTTCCTAGGAAAATAGATCTTAAAAGGGCTCATCACAGGAAAAAAAAACTGCGTAACTATGTATGGTGAGGATGTTAACTAGATGTATTGTGGTGATCACTTCCTAATACATACTAATATCGAATCCTTATGTTGTACACCTGAAACTAATATAATGTCATATGTCAGTTATACCTCTATTTAAAAAAAGAAATCTTGCCAAACCAAAACCTTAAGAAAAAGAAAAGAAAAGAAATCACCTATCTCCCAACTGAAGTCACACTTTGAGGTACAAGAGGTGAGAACTCAACATATGAATTTGGCAGAGACACAATTCAGCCATGACACCTACCTGCCTGGACTTGGCATTCTTTCCTCCACTCTCAGGTCCTGGAGTCCATCTTCCCTGAAGATTGCTGAGCCCAGAAGAGAGTCTTTAGGTAGAACCAGTCACAACCCATTCATGGGAGGACTACCTGCAACTGCGGCTCTCTGTGGCCGGTGACGGTCAGCGTGGTTGAGGGAAGCTCTCTTCAAGGAAAGCCTTAAAGCAGCTCTCAAACTTTTGGGGAAAGGTAAGTAACATGTTAGTATCATGAAAATAATTTTGACCTCATGGACTCTCTAAAAGGGCCTCAGGAAATCCTGGGGATCCCTGGACATACTCTAAGAACTGCCTTAGAGGAGAACACTGAGTGGCTCAGTGGGTTAAGCGGCCGCCTTCAGCTCAGGTCATGATCCCAGGGTCCTGGGATCGAGCCCCGCATCCCTGCAGCAGCTGATATTGTGTACCTGGAACTAATATGATGTTATATGTCAATTATACCTCAATTTAAAAAAAAGAAAAATATTGCCAAACCAAAACCACTGAGCTGGGAGCCTGCTCTCCCTTTCCCTCTGCCCCTCCCCCTCCGCTCATGCGTTCCCTTGTGCGCTCTCTCTCTCTCTCACAAATAAGTAAATAAAATCTTAAAAAAAAAAGAACAACTGGGCGCCTGGGTGGCTCAGTTGGTTAAGCAACTGCCTTCGGCTCAGGTCATGATCCCAGGGTCCTGGGATCGAGTCCCACATCGGGCTCCTGGCTCAGCAGGAAGCCTGCTTCTCCCTCTCCCACTCCCCCTGCTTGTGTTCCTGCTCTCGCTGTCTCTGTCTCTGTCAAATAAATAAATAAAATCTTTAAAAAAAAAAAAAGAAAACATCTTTAAAAAAAAGAACAACTGCCTTAGAAAAAGCCTCTGTGGATGCCTTTATTCTTGACTGCTACTTCTCCCTGGCCTATACTGGCCTTTCCTGTGAGGCCAGAGGGACTTCTTGCCCCAATCCACCCCAGAAACACAGAGCAGAGCCCTGTGCTTGAAGGTGAGTCCACAGGTCCTGGGAGACAGCACAAGGCAGGAACAGACATGAGTAAACATTAAACTAAGGTCAGGATGCCTCCTGGCTCTATCCTCCTCAGTGAGATCACTTAATCCTGGTTTTCCCACAGATGAGTCAACAATTCCCCACATTAGGTAAATAATAGTGAATAAGCTTGTATTCATTAGGAGACATTTAGCTGAATATAAGAACCAAAAACAATTTTTTTTTTTTTACTTTGGCTTAAACAAGACAGAAACATATGGCTCTTTTTTAGAAGAGAAATCTGGGGTAGGCAGCCCAAGGCTGGCATGGTGGCTCCATAAAATTTTCAGGAAACAGCATACTTTTCAGTTCACAGTCGGCCTTCAATGGCACTCATCCTCAAGGTCTAAGCTGGCTGCTGAACTCCAGCCATAGCGATCATATTCCACCCAGGAGAAATGGAAAAAGAACACTTCCCAGGAATTGTGTATACTTCTCATCAGCCAAAATTGAAGTCACATATTTACAAAGGAAATTAGAAAAGTTTTCTTTTGATTCCACAAGATTATATCTAACCACCAAAGAAGGAGAGAATGTGTCCTGGGAGGCACTAAGCAGTGTTGACCACAGATTGTCAATTAGTTGCTCTCCCCCTATAGAGAACAACAAAGCCAAATTGAGATGCTGGCACTTGGCAGCCACTCTGTGACTCATCAGCCCGTTGACTCACTCCTACCCACCAGCTTGTCAGCAAAACCATGTTTCTACATGTCACAGCCCTTCCAGATTGCTAAGTATATTCGAAACTCTGAATATTAAATTCTTTTTTTTTTTAAGATTTTATTTATTTGACAGAGAGAGACACAGTGAGAGAGGGAACACAAGCAAGGGGAGTAGGAGAGGGAGAAGCAGGCTTCTCACAGAGCAGGGAACCCGATGCGGGGCTCGATCCCAGGACCCTGGGACCATGACCTGAGCCGAAGGCAGATGCTTAATGACTGAGCCTCCCAGGTGCCCCTGAATATTAAATTCTTGACTACGATTAGCATATCCTTTAGATTTTCAAATAGTTTATTTTATATAAAAGTTATTATCTACATCAAACATCAAAAGAAAATATACATTAACATTAGCCTGAAAGTTTACAGGGATTATTTCTGAACAATAGAATTACAGGACATGCTTCTTTTTTTATTATTATTTTCTATAGATAAAAATGTTCCTCCAGTGCATATACACTGCTTCTATAGTTAGATAAAACAGTAATTTCTTTTCAAGAGCCCAGCCTTCTAGCCTTGTCATTCATTAATTGAGGGATTTATTCATCTATAACCCATGGTCACTGAGATCAGAAGGTAATTAGGAAATCTAATTATTAAAGTAGTACTTTACCTGTGACCCACTCTGTACTTCATTTCATACCATGCATCTTGGGTTAAATATAAAAATTATATCATGACCTTTCTGATCATTTCAAAATAATAAATTCTCATCAACTCTGTCTTACAGTTTAAACAGACCCTGAAAATAAACGCAACCCATGAACAACATTTCTGAAGAATAGTTCTGTTCCGCTGTTACAATGAAACATGAGTCAGAGGAAGGGGGAGTTTTACAGTTCAGACTTTGTAAGGAAAAAGGGATGCTTTTTTTTTTTTTTCCCAAGAAGCTCTCCTGGAGGAATTCCCCATCTGCATTTTTAACTTTGTCATTTTCCAGGGAATTCTTTGCAACTGAAAATGAAACCAGGAGATTGGAAACAGCTCAAGGTGCCTATCTGAGCCGACCATCACCAGGGGGGCTACAGAGAGGATGGTGGAGGCTGCTGCAGCCCCCAAAGGTGCCCAGAACAAATCCCTGGCTCCCAGACAGAGCCTGTCCATTACCCCACACCCATGCCACGCTGCCTTCTTTTTCTCCAAAAAAGGTATTCACTGAAAAACTGGTTTTTATGTTTGTACTTGTCCCTACTCCAGAGCCAAAAGACTGACAATCTACAAATTTAAACACACCAGCTTTGCTAGAAAGACACCCAAAGGCACATGTATAAAAGCATTAACTTCACACACAAAGAATAGACCAGCTATATTTACTGAAGTCTTATAACAGTGTAGGGGATACAGAGATAAAACTGGTCTACACCAGACAAAAGGCTCAAATACTTCTTCCGGGGAAAATGAAAAAATGAAGAGGAAGTGAATTACTGTGTTGACTTGGATCTCATCCATATCTAGCCATTAACGAGCACAGGAAAGGTGGTGAGCCCTACAATCCACATGTGACATACAGTAACACTCTCCACACCCCTCCCCCTACCCCGCCCCAGCCCACAGCCACACCCCTCTGTGCAAGGCACACAGGGGCAGCAGGATAAAATATAAGACTTTTATGATCAGCAGAAACAGATTCTCCTCAAAGCTAAGGAAGCTTAGGCTTCAGGACCCCTCACTTACACAATCCCTTCCCGGTCCCATTCTGAATAGCTTTCTTATCTAGTTTCCTTTTGTAATTTTTTTCTATAAAAAGGTCCCTCAATTCTGTAAGCTGCAGACTCCACAAAACCTGGATTCTCTCCTCAGCAAGTAAAACAGTGGGTCATGTGCTCTCATACTTTATCTTTTTAAATTTTAATTGTGATTAAAAAAAAAAACCCAACATATACCATCTTAACCATTTTTAAGTATACAGATCGGTGGTATTAAGCACATTCAGATTGTTTTTTGTTTTAAAGATTTTGTTTTTTTAGGTAATCTCTATAACCAATGTAGGGTCTGAACTCGTAACCCCGAAATCAAGAGTTAAGTGCTCTACTGACTGAACCAGCCAGGCGCTCCACATTCACATTGTTGTGCAACCATCTCCACCATTTATCTCCAGAACTTTTTCAACATGCAAAACTGAAACTTGCAAAACAACACAGGAACTCCCACTTTCCTGTGGCCCCAGCCCCTGGCAGCCACCATGTACTTTCTTTTTTTTTTTTTTTAAAGATTTTATTTATTTTTTAGAGAGCGAGCGAGAGAGAAACAGCATGAGAGGGGAGAGGGTCAAAGGGAGAAGCAGGCTCCCCGCTGAGCCGGGAGCCCGATGTGGGACTCGATCCCAGGACCCTGGGATCATGACCTGAGCCGAAGGCAGACGCTTAACCATCTGAGCCACCCAGGCGCCCCACCATGTACTTTCTACCACCATGAATTTGACTATTCCTAGGTACCTCATGTAAGTGGAATCCTCTAGTATTTGTCTTCTTGTGACTCATTTATTTCATTTAGTGTAGTGTCCTCAAGGTTCATCCATGTTGTAGCATGTGACAGGATTTCTTTCCTTTTTAAGGCTGACTAATATTTCACGGTCTGTATATACCATATCTTGTTTATCCATTCATCTGTCGGTCAACACTTGTACATGTGTTTTAATTTTAAGATAAACGCATGCAACCATTTGGGAAGCCATGCTCTTGCTTTAGAATCAGTTCTACAGAACGTGCAATAATGGCCCCTTGTCAGTCACATCGATGTGAGGATTCGGGGACTTTCTGAGTGCAATGAGAAATCAGAAAGGGACAGTTACATTTTCATTGCCAGCCTGTGAATAACCCCCTACCAAATAACAAAGTCTGCATTTCCTTGCTGGGCATTCCAAGTTTCTTTCCATATCTCAAACCTATTCTGGTGTGTTTTTTTTAACCAACCAATACACATGTATTGAGAGATATTATTTCTTTTTTTTTTTTCCAACTATTACTTAGAACCTTCACTGTTCTGGGTGTAAATCTCTACTGCAGAATGCAAAATGAAAAAGAAAAAAAGTGAATAAAAGTGAGCCTGAATAAGTTCACATTCCAAAGGAGGGAATAGATTCACAGATTTTAATCCAGCATAAATTCAGTAATAGAGGCATATACAAGGTGCTAAGGGAGCACATTAAGGGAGGGATTTTTTTGTTTTAAACAGCTACCCATGTGTATATGTGTGTATATACGATGTTATAGAAGAAAATGCTAATGTCAGCTATCTCTGGGCAGGGAAATTAAGGACGATTTTTTTTTAAAGATTTTATTTATTTATTCATAAGAGACAGAGAGAGAGGGCGCCTGGGTGGCTCAGTTGGTTAAGCGGCTGCCTTCGGCTCAGGTCATGATCCTGGAGTCCTGGGATCGAGTCCCGCATCGGGCTCCCTGCTCGGCAGGGAGTCTGCTTCTCCCTCTGACCCTTCTGTCTCTCATTCTCTCTGTCTCAAATAAATAAATAAAATATTTTTTAAAAAAAGAGAGAGAGACAGAGAGAGAGAGAGAGAGGCAGGCTCCCCGCGGAGCAGGGAGCCCGATGCGGGACTCGATCCCAGGACCCTGGGATCATGACCTGAGCCGAAGGCAGACGCTTAACCATCTGAGCCACCCAGGCACCCTAAGGACAATTTTTTTTTTCCTCTATGCCCTCCTCTATTTTCCCATCCTCTATATTCAAATGTATTTTTCCTCTAGCAATAGGAAAACAATACTTTTAAAAGACCATTTTGTTTCTTGTCATCCTTAACTCTCTAATGTGTTGGAAGTTATCGTTTGACTGTGTGGTGAGTTGAGGAGGGGTGTGATAGTATTGGGCACCCTTCAAAACCCAGTCTACTCCTCCATCATATGAGTGGGGGACAGGGAGAGAGAAATATGCATACAAGGAAATGTGTGACACTTTTCCATGCACACCGGCAGCGTCTATGTCATGAAAGATAATGAGGCAGACAGTGAGGAAGATCTGAATTGGAGAAAGGAGCCCTTCAGGTGATCTGGGCACTCAGACAAGATGGTGGGATTTGTATCAGTTTATCTTGGAGATAGAGTGAAGGCTAGGAGGAGGATATTTCAAGTTGGCAGAACAGTGGGAGTGAATAGGAATGCATGTGAGGGTTTGGCAGAAGGTAAGGAGACCAGGCAACTTGGAACAAAGGATGCATGTGGGACATAAGGTTAGAAAGGTGGATTTGAGACCCAGAATCCATTAGGTAGTGGGGAATTGACGTTAGCTCTGAGCAATAGCTCTGATGCAAGAAACACAAGACTTTAGGACGATCAGTTGGAGGGTGGTAGACAAGAGATATTGCCAGGAAGGAAATGGGGTTGAGGTGTGGCTTCCTGATTGCTACACACACCTAAATGTCTGTTGCCAATGCTATATTTTTACTAGTTTTCTAAATGTGCTGTTTCTTTCTTTAAAAACAAAAACAGCTTTGTTGAGATATAATTCACATACCATACAATTTACCCATTCAAAGTATAGAATTGTCTGGAGTATGTTCACTTGGTTGTACAAACATCACCGCAATTTAATTTTAGAACATTTTTATAAAAGTAACCCTGTACCCATTAGCAGTCACTCCCCATCCTCCCCAACTCCCCAGCCCTAAGCAACCACTAAGCCCTTTCTCTCTGTATGGATTTGCCTATTCTGGACATTTTGTGTAAATGAAATCACACAACATGTGACCTTTTGTGTCTGGCTTCTCTTTCACTTCATATAATGTCTTCAAGGTTCATCCACATTCATGTAGCACATACCAGACTTCATTCCTTTTTATTGTCAAATAATATTCCATTGCATGGAGATACAACATTTTGCTTATCCATTCGTCAGCTGATGGGCATTTGGGTTATTTCCACTTCGAGGCTATTATAAACAATGTTCCTATGAATATCCATGCACAAGTTTTTGCATAGACATAGGTTTTCATTTCTCATGGGTATCTCCCTAGGAGAGGAGCTGCTAGATTATATGGTAACTATGAAGCGGGAGAGCTAGGTTCTTGTCTCACCGAGTCAAAGAATGAATCTCACGGACAATGGAGAGTGAGTAAAGCGACAGAAGTTTATTAAGTAAAGATACAGAAAAAGCTCTCAAGAGTGAGAAAGGTCCCGACAGGGTTGACACTGAAGGCCTCTAGGGTTGGCCTTTTATAGAAAGCTAACCAGGGAACTTAAATCCTTTTGACATCTCTATTGATATCAGCATTGAGCAAGGACTAGTGATAACACCTTCAATGGCTTACTTCCTTTTTAGGGTCTGGTTATTCCTTGTTGGTCACAGATGATCATCATAAAAAAAGACACCCAGCCCACACGCCTAGGGCAGGGTGGTCCGGGTTGGTTCCCTTATCTCTGGTTTCCTTACACGTCAGCATTTTGGGGATTTCTGTGAGCCTGATCGCATAGCCCCCTATCTGTCTCTCCTAACCTAGCCCTACCTGTCCCTGACTCAACTACACTCAGTTTCTGACCTGTACATGCTCTCTGATGAATCTTACTGTTTGTTTGTGAAGCTGGCTTATGTCTCACCCAGTATAACTGTGAATTCCACTAGCGGAGTGCCCACCCTAACTGAACTTGGCCTCACTTGTAATTTTCAAAACCAAGAAGGAAGTAGGTAGTGTGTCAGAGCCTTCTGCGTGCTCAAGAAAGCAGATGTGATCACAGAGCAAGTCACCCGAGCCCACGTGTGGGCTGCCTTCGTGCCCTCCTACACTTTCATGGTAAAGGAAACCAAAGGTCAATCTCTCTCAGCCTCTCTCCCTCTCTCTCTCTCAAGCCTGGGTAAATCAGAAGCATCCTGTATGGAAACAGAGATTTCAGCCAAGGACCTTCTGCTCCAACTCTCTTCCTTGTTGCCTGAAACAAGGATTCCAGAAGGAGGAATCTCAAGATCTCAAAACTGGTAACAGTCAAAGCAAAAGTCGGAGCCCAGTGCTTCAGAAATGTGAATAAAATTAAAAATATCAAGAAGTGTTGGGTTTTTTCAGATTTTAGGCAAGGACCTGAGAAATAAATGGCAATCAAAATGAAAGGAAAAAGAGCCACACTTCAGCGCCCTAGGCAAGGTCAAGGCAATGTCATTTGAAATAAAACAAACAAAAAAATGCTGGCACAGGTGAGATAAGAGAGAGTTTTGAATAAACACCTTGTATCTTCAGATTCCAGAACTCCTCCTCTCCTAGGAGCCAATGTAGGTAACCAAAGTCACATACAATAGTAAAAAT